ATATAGGAAATTGTATAAGATACTAAAACGACAGGATTAGGTTTAAAAAAAAATAACTAAATAGGTACACTGAAAATGTGTGTAAAATTATTTTTATAAATATGAAAAAATAAAAATACTATATCACTTATAAATATTTATCATTACATAATATAATAAAAGTTTTGACGCAACAAAAGAATTAAGTAGGTATAGGTAAGTATAATTAAGGTACCTATTACAATTAAAATATTATTATATACATGTACACGCCTACACGGAGTAAAATATAAACATTTATAAAACAACGTTATCTATAATAAAAAGACAATATTTTCTCCTTGTTCGAGTTGAAGTGCTACTTTGTCACTGGATGTTGCTCGGTCCGCTGGCCCAGACAACATGGCCGTGGCGAAAGTGAGAACAATACCAAAAGCTGCAGTGTACAAACCTGATCCTATAAAATCGCATAACAAAATATTCTATTTTTAAGGCAACTAGAAGGTAAAAGCACAATAATTGGAGAGATAATTTCTATATAAACCGTACACATATAATTGTGTTATTTTATATGAAGCGAGTGTCTACATTATAATTAATATGTATTTATATGATCTGCCACAAGTATTGTTTCGGTCCAACTATAATTTAGTCCGGGATACGAAAATTAAAACGTTGAAACTATTTATTATATTTTTATTTTTTTATGAATCAAAAGCATTACTGCCACGGATTTCTTCACAGAAAAGGCTGTGTTAAAAATGGATCCCAGTATTATTTGTGTTCCGCTGTTGTTTAAYCACATTCGAATAACTAAGAGATGAGATGTTGTACCTAATGCTGCAGTAATCTGATGTATCTTATGTATTCGTCATAGATGATTTAGCTTAAAATATTACCTCCGACATCTGGGCGGATAAAACGTTCACGTACAGTATTTTGAATTCGAAAAATTAAAAATGAGATATCTGTAAAAACTGCAGGAACCATAACGGTATGTTATAAATATAATGTAATAAGCCAGKYGTGGATCCAGTGGGGGYGGTAGGGTGGACTCCCCACCACCGTTGGCCGTACATTTGAAAACTGTATTATTTAAATTTAATATTTTGTGTTATCCTATGTATTGTTATATTTGTTATATTATATATCCAGTCACAAATCGTCATATTTTATTTTAATAACACACATTTATAAATTGTTTAACATTTAAATTTGTATATAATATTTTATTCAATTCAGTTTAAGAAAAAAAAGTATTCGTTATAATTAATAAGCAATTATTGCATTATAAGTACTCTAGTACTATTGCATGCTTATATATATATATATATATACTCGTATTTAACAGAAGGAAAATAGTAAATATATTTAGATATTTATAGTCCACCCTCCCGTTATTGTATATAGGCTGGATCCRCGCCTATAATGAGCAATCGTACTTTTTATAGTTTTTAGTTTTTAAGCACCATGGACTATGAAATTCTTGGAATATCGTGTCGTGACGTAAAATTCAATTCAATTTTTGGAAAAAAATACTCATACTTATTTATTTAATAATAGGTATACCTAGTATATACGACACACTAGGCACAGTACTCGTGTTTATGTTAATTAACTAATTTGTACAACTTTGGATAATTTCCTTAATAATTCTTTTTCTATGTAATGTATGTGATATCCTATGTTCTTAATTTTTAACAATCAGCTAGGRCGCTAGGTAGTAGTTTAAATTTATTACTATATAAACGCATCATACCATTCGTGCAATCCGCTGAGACAAAAGGGACGGATTGAGTTCCACACAGCAGCACCACGCGTTCCGAACCCCAACCAGCGGCGAAACAAATTACTCCGATCAAATAAAGTAAAACTGAAAGACAAAAATAAATAATTATTTACTATTTAACCTTGATTATACAGTGTATAATAATATAATATGTTCTANTTTTAAAAGTTGTGGGAAAAGCGTGTGAAATTCACCATATTTTTCCCTTTCTTCAAATATTCTGTTGACCCGCCATTGCCTTTCTAATTTTTCACTGAACATTAAATACTTTAATACAGGACTTGTTTCCAAAAAATAAAGTTGGTTGATTACTTCCATTTCATACAACTACTGAACCATGAATGAGGCATAGGTATTACAATATATTAAAACGGATGTGTATATTTGACCGATGACGGGTGCAGTGAGACCAGAAAATTCGGCCAATAAAYGAACCSKMAAAATCGKMCGATTTTGACGGTCTCGAATCGGCCAATATCGGGCGTAGTGTGACCAATGCCTACCCCAAATTAATATTTTTATGACTTAATCTATATTATCCATTTTTAATATTTTTCCCTTTAAAGCGATACTACTATACAAGTAGTATAATACAACTACTTATTATATAAATCTTACATCATATTATAATTTATATTTGATTATTTGTTGTAAGGTAGATAGTTTTTAATATAAAAAATATACTTTAGAAAAAAGTGGAATATAAAATATATCATTAGATAATAATTTAACTTTCCTCTTATTTGACGATAAAATGTTCCAAGTTCCAACTATGCGCAATTGCGCAAACGCATTGACGTTCGTGTGCGGAGAAATGACAAAATGTGCATTGACAATAAACTGTTTAACAATGCGTTAAAATTAAAGTACAATTTATATATCTTGTTGGCTTGTTCCATATAYGGGCAGAACTCCACCACAATATATCAGCTACTTAACCCATATATGTATCTATAGRATATAGGAAATTGTATAAGATACTAAAACGACAGGATTAGGTTTAAAAAAAAATAACTAAATAGGTACACTGAAAATGTGTGTAAAATTATTTTTATAAATATGAAAAAATAAAAAACTATATCACTTATAAATATTTATCATTACATAATATAATAAAAGTTTTGACGCAACAAAAGAATTAAGTAGGTATAGGTAAGTATAATTAAGGTACCTATTACAATTAAAATATTATTATATACATGTACACGCCTACACGGAGTAAAATATAAACATTTATAAAACAACGTTATCTATAATAAAAAGACAATATTTTCTCCTTGTTCGAGTTGAAGTGCTACTTTGTCACTGGATGTTGCTCGGTCCGCTGGCCCAGACAACATGGCCGTGGCGAAAGTGAGAACAATACCAAAAGCTGCAGTGTACAAACCTGATCCTATAAAATCGCATAACAAAATATTCTATTTTTAAGGCAACTAGAAGGTAAAAGCACAATAATTGGAGAGATAATTTCTATATAAACCGTACACATATAATTGTGTTATTTTATATGAAGCGAGTGTCTACATTATAATTAATATGTATTTATATGATCTGCCACAAGTATTGTTTCGGTCCAACTATAATTTAGTCCGGGATACGAAAATTAAAACGTTGAAACTATTTATTATATTTTTATTTTTTTATGAATCAAAAGCATTACTGCCACGGATTTCTTCACAGAAAAGGCTGTGTTAAAAATGGATCCCAGTATTATTTGTGTTCCGCTGTTGTTTAAYCACATTCGAATAACTAAGAGATGAGATGTTGTACCTAATGCTGCAGTAATCTGATGTATCTTATGTATTCGTCATAGATGATTTAGCTTAAAATATTACCTCCGACATCTGGGCGGATAAAACGTTCACGTACAGTATTTTGAATTCGAAAAATTAAAAATGAGATATCTGTAAAAACTGCAGGAACCATAACGGTATGTTATAAATATAATGTAATAAGCCAGKYGTGGATCCAGTGGGGGYGGTAGGGTGGACTCCCCACCACCGTTGGCCGTACATTTGAAAACTGTATTATTTAAATTTAATATTTTGTGTTATCCTATGTATTGTTATATTTGTTATATTATATATCCAGTCACAAATCGTCATATTTTATTTTAATAACACACATTTATAAATTGTTTAACATTTAAATTTGTATATAATATTTTATTCAATTCAGTTT